CACCAACCTAGATGGAGGGGATAGGGAGGATGGGAGGGAGGCTCAAGAGGGAGGGGATATGGGGACAAATGTATGCATATGGTTGACTCACTTTGTTGTGCAACAGAAACTAATACAGTATTGTGAAGCAATTATACTCCAATAAAGATCTATTTTAGAAAATAGATAACTAATAAGGACCTACTGTAGAGCACAGGGAACTCTACTCAATTCTCTGTAATGGCCTATATGGGAAAATAACCTGAAAAAGAGTGGATATATGTAAATGTATAACTGATTCACTTTGCTGTACAGCAGAAGCTAACACAACATTGTAAAGCAACTATACTCCAATAAAAAATTTTTTTAAGTTAAAAAAAAAAAGGTAGGAGGCAGAGACCTTTGTAAGAACCCAGACAAGAGATGATGAGGAGTTAAACAAGTGAGATGATGGTAGGAAGGCAAACAATGGAGAATGGCCAATAAAGTTTGGTGCAAATCCCTAGGGGTCAAGGATGCTGTGTTCATTGAGTCATTGTATTGTGTGAAGTTACCAGGAGTTGAAGGTGAGCTATAGTGTCTATCTCCAGGGCTGAGGATGAGCAAAATGTGTGGATACATACCTTCCCAGCATACAGGAGTTAACATCGAGTGCGTTTGATGCTCACAGAGCAAATGTGGTTATATCTAAAAGCCTAAAAGTAAGGGAAAAAATTTAAAAAAACAAAGTGAGGTCTATAACAAAATACCGTTACATTAACCAAAAACATGTACACAATATTAAAAGGATATATATCCAGTACAACAGAGTTAGACAACTAGGCAAGTGAGGGGGGTGGAAGTGAGGATCAGGGACTGAATAAGGGGAAATAAATGCAAGAGGGGCCTTGTGCTGAATGATGTAGACAGTGCTGAGAGCTGAAATGTAGGACTAACTCAACTCTGCATGAGCCCAAAAGAGAGATAAGTAATTACACACATACATGTACATGCAAACAATACAAGAGGCATGCAGTGGTTCGTTGGGCGTTCTGAAGGATTACATGCAAGTGAAGGTGCCACTCACACCTGAATGGCACGTCCCTCTCGCCTCCAAGCTTGGAACAGCATCTCCTCACCTCCTCCTCGCTTCAATACTCCACACACTTTTCTTGTCCAGTGGCCACATTCTACGAAAATAACCTTTGGAAATAGACTTCCCAGGGTATGAGTCTTAGAACATTTTTAAACCTCAGTTTTCTCCTTCATAAAAATATGAATAATAATATCTACTTCATATGGTGATCACAGGGCTTCCATGAGCTAACGAAAGTGAAAAGAGCCTAATACAGGTTTTGGCTCAGTAAATAAATTGTTCCTATCTGATTGTTCTGGACATGGGACTCCAAGTTTTGGCCAGTGGCCTCAGGTTGGCCAGTAATAGAAGTGAGACTAGAACTTTGTAAATGACAGCTACAGCTTCAGCTCAGTACTGGAAGGCTCTGTCTTTCTGGAGAAGGATGAACAGGAACAGCACTCTGGGCTAAGAGCACACCCTACTCCCCTTTTTGGTCCGTGGGAAAGCCACATCCAGGCCTGGCTCTGTGCCCACAGTCTAACAGAAAGCCAGTCAGAGTCTGGGCTCCCTTACACCCAACTTAACTGCACATTTTCATCTTTTTTATGTGTTCGGGATGTTACACTAATTATGATGGATGTTCTATTGGTGCTCACACTGAGGGGCGGATGATGAAGCCATAATGTAAGGTAATATGTCTATTAAAGATTTAAAATAACCTGCTTGCTAGATGATTCCTCATTCCACTGGCAGATTCGAGCTTCTTGATAAGAAGTTGGTGCTGAATTAGAGAGGGCAATAGGGAGGGAGGGAGGGAAGGGACCCAAAAGATATTCTCCAACTTCTGGAGTGCTGTGAAACTGATATATCTTTTCTTCATTTAATTAAGGAGCATCTATTGTGTGAGGCTTCAGCACAGGCTCTGTATACACATGGATCAGCAATGACTTTGGAAGCTCTCGATTCAGGAGCAAAGTTAACTCGACTTAGTGAACAAAGTCATGGTACTAATGGAGTCAGGAATTAATTATCTTTCTCTCTGATGCCCAAACCAATGTTAGAGCCCCAGGTTATGAGTATATCATTAGAAGTGGCTCCTGGAGCTGTTTGGTCCCCAAATTTCAGAGGCAGATAAAACTTAAGACTAATAGGACCAGGTGAACTCTCAGCCATGTCTATCCCTATAGACAGAACTTTGGTATCTTCTGCATCTGCCTTCCTGCCTGGTGGTCTCTGTTTTACTAAAGAGCAAAAGGTGCATGTGCACCCCAGTCAGAACCTTTGGGTCATGTGGCTGTGGCAGCCTAAAGGTTCACTTGGGAAAGACATCATGTCAACAGGTGACCTGGCAGGACAGCCAGGTCTTATAGAAGATCAGTAGATTAGATCCACCACTAATTTCAGTTCTTCCTCCTGGGCTCCAAAATCCCCAACCATCCTTAAGTCTCCTACCTACCACGGTTCATCACCCAGTATTCCCTTCATTGCTAACCAGCCTCTGCCCTTCACCACCTCCTCTTACCCATTTCTACCTCTGCTCCTTCCCTCACTCAGACACCTGCTCGAGGGCCTGTCTCTCTCCCCTATGTCTCTAATCCTGTTTGAACTTCTAGATAGACATGATGAATGGAGGAAGATAAACAATACCCCCCACCCTATAACCTACTGACACTAACATCAGCAACAAAATTATCACCATCAGCAACCTGAAATAAATAGGATATGACCTCATGTCATACACTTTTAAAAGTAGTTTCCAAGGAAATCAATAAAGGAAATAATTCATTGTGCTCATACTATATACCTCATCCTCCTCCATACATACCCTCAATAAAGTGATATGAGGCAAATATAGTAAGTTTGTAAAATCCCAAGAATGCAACCCCATTTGGGAAGAAGCGGAATTAAAGAGTGAGTGGGTGAGTATGCAGCCCAGGGCAAAAGTAAAGAGAGGCCCTCAGAAGAGAATCTTCACTGCAATAAAATAATCACACCTAACATATGTTGGGTATCTGTAGCACGATGATAAGCCATTATATGCAACATTCTATTTAAGACTCATAAAAACCCCATGATGTTATTAGCTACATGGTTTACATAAGGAAATCAGGGCAAGTTGATCCTAACCATTATGCCATCTCAACAAAGGCAGAAAAAATACTTGGATGGGACTACCCTGGTGGTCCAATGATTAAGAATCTACCTTCCAATGCAGAGGACGCGGGTTTGATCCCTGGTCAGGGAACTAAGATCCCACATGCCATGGAGCAACTTAGCCTACATGCGGCAATTACTGAGCCTGTATGCCACAACTACTGAGTCCACGTGCTCTGGAGCCCACACACCACAACTAGAGAGAAGCCCACACACGACAATGAAAAGCCCGCGTGCTGCAATGAAAGATCCCGCATGCCTCAACCAAGACACTAACCAGCCAAAAATAAATAAATAAATAATGTTTAAAAGAAAAGAAAAGTACTTGGATTCACCATTTTTCAGAATTCCAGTCTAGATCAGGAGAATGATTGAAAACACAGGGTATTTCCCCACAAGAGTAGGATATGCCCTTGATCATATGTGGTGTTCTCTAACATAGGGTATCCTTTTTAATCTCAGAAGAAAGACTTGGGGCTTCCATGGTGCCGCAGTGGTTGAGAATCTGCCTGCCAATACAGGGGACACGGGTTTGAACCCTGGTCTGGGAAGATCCCACATGCCACAGAGCAACTAGGCCCGTGAGCCACAACTACTGAGCCTGCGCGTCTGGAGCCTGTGCTCCCCAACGAGAGAGGCCGCGATAGTGAGAGGCCACGATAGTGAGAGGCCCGCGCACTGCAATGAAGAGTGGCCCCTGCTTGCTGCAACTAGAAGAAGCCCTCGCACAGAAACGAAGACCCCGTACAGCCAAAATATAAATTAATTAATTAATTAAAAAAAAAAAAAAGAAAGACTTGACCTCTAGTTTTCCAGCAAAACTTCACCCACTCTGGCTAAACTTTTTGACAGACTGAGCCACCAGGGTACTGAAAAGCAGTAAGAACATGATACCTCTCAAATTTGGCTCAGAGTGGAAGCCAAAAATGTCTCAATAAGATGGGAAAAATGTTAAGAGGAATTTACCTAGACCTCCCCATCGCAGTCAAAGTTGCTCACACTTAATGTGAGCAAGGGAACAAAGTGGGCATGTCATGGTGACTGTGGAAACCTATCACTCAAAGACCAATAAAGGAAGTGTGGCTACAGAGTACAGAAAAATAATTCAGGTGACAGAAAGCATAACCCAAGAACAGAAGAAGATTCCCTGCCAGGGCTTCAGGCTATGGAATGACTTGATAATAACATGAATTCTATTTTTTACAAAGGTATTAAAGACAAAATGTCAAAAGAACAGAATGAGATTAAAAGAGGGATTGCAGAACTATGGCAACAGAGCACCCAAACAGTATCATTACAGAACTAATCATTAGAACAGCCCAAACAGAATAGACATGGCTGAAAATTTAAAGTCTTGAAATGAAAGTCCTTCCAGAGAGAATGCAAAGGGAAGGAAAGGGAAAGATAAAATGAGTACAGATAAAGTAATAGATATCAAGGGCAGGCAGAAATGATACAACATATGGATGAAAAGTATTCCTGAAATAAAGAACCCAAAAATTGCAGACAAAAATTATTCCAAGATATTTTTAAAGCTAAATTTCCTTAAATGAAGGAAGAAAATCCAGGCTGCCTTCTGACAGCTGCCTCCAGAGCAATATGCAGTGCCAGAAAATAAAGGGATAATTCCATTTTCAACAGTGAAACCACCAACCACACCAAAAAAAGGAAAAAACATGGCACAAAATAGACCACAAAAGGACACTTATTTACAGTATGAGAGGTGAAACAAGAAGAAAGCGAGTTGCCTTGCTCAACCTCAGCTGGGAACATGCACAGCAAGTGACTCAAATTTTTCACGGCTCAGTGCTTGCTTCAGCAGCAAATATACTAAAATTGGAATGATACAGAGAAGATTAGCATGGCCCCTGCACAATGATGATATGCAAATTCTTGAACCATTCCATATTTTTGATTGGAAGAATCAACATTGTGAAAATGACTATACTACCCAAAGCAATCTACAGATTCAATGCAATCCCTATCAAACTACCATTGACATTTTTCACACAACTAGAACAAAAATTTTACAACTTTTATGGAAACACAAAATACCCCAAATAGCCAAAATAATCTTGAGAAAGAAAAAAAGAACTGGAGGAATCAGGCTCCCTGACTTCAGACTATACTACAAAGCTAGAGTAATCAAGACAGTATGGTACTGGCACAAAAACAGAAATATAGATGAATGGAACAGGATAGAAAGCCCAGAGATAAACCCAACACATATGGCCATCTTATTTTTGATAAAGGAGGCAAGAATATACAATGGAGAAAAGACAGCCTCTTCAATAAGTGGTGCTGGGAAAACTGGACAGCTACATGTAAAAGGATGAAATTAGAACACTCTCTAACACCATACACAAAAATAAACTCAAAATGGATTAAAGACTTAAATGTAAGGCCAGACATTATAAAACCCTTAGAGGAAAATATAGGTAGAACAATCTATGAGATAAATCACAGCAAGATTCTTTTTGACCCACCTCCTAGAGAAATGGAAATAAAAACAAAAATAAACAAATGGGACCTAATGAAACTTGAAAGCTTTTGCACAGCAAAGGAAACCATAAACAAGATGAAAAGACAACCCTCAGAATGGGAGAAAATATTTTCAAATGAAGCAACTGACAAAGGATTGATCTCCAAAATTTACAAGCAGCTCATGCAGCTCAATATCAAAAAAGCAAACAACCCAATCCAAAACTGGGTAAAAGATAGTAAAGGTGATCCAAAATCTTGGAAGTACAATAGAGAAAATGCAAGAAACATTTAACAAGGGCCTAGAAGAACTAAAGAGGGAACAGGCAACGATGAACAACACAGTAAATGAAATTAAAAATACTCTAGAAGGGATCAATAGCAGAATAACTGAGGCAGAAGAATGGATAAGTGACCTGGAAGATAAAATAGTGGAAATAACTACTGCAGAGCAGAATAAAGAAAAAGAATGAAAAGAATTGAGGACAGACTCAGAGACCTCTGGGACAACATTAAATGCACCAACATTCGAATTATAGGGGTCCCAGAAGAAGAAGAGAAAAAGAAAGGGACTGAGAAAATATTTGAAGAGATTATAGTTGAAAACTTCCCTAATATGGGAAAGGAAATAGTTAATCAAGTCCAGAAGCACAGAGAGTCTCATACAGGATAAATCCAAGGAGAAACACACCAAGACACATATTAATCAAACTATCAAAAATTAAATATAAAGAAAACATATTAAAAGCAGCAAGGGAAAAACAACAAATAACACACAAAGGAATCCCCATAAGGTTAACAGGTGATCTTTCCACAGAAACTCTGCAAGCCAGAAGGGAGTGGCAGGACATATTTAAAGTGATGGAGAAAAACCAAAAATGGGTAAAAGAACTAAGTAGACATTTCTCCAAAGAAGATATACAGATTGCCAACAAACACATGAAAGGATGCTCAGCATCACTGATCATTAGAGAAATGCAAATCAAAACTATGGTTAGGAATCAACTCACACCAGTCAGAATGGTCATCATCAAAAACTCTAAAAAAAGTAAATGCTGGAGAGGGTGTAGAGAAAAAGAACCCTCTTACACTGTTGGTGGGAATGTAAATTGATACAGCCACTATGGAGAACAGGACGGAGGTTCCTTAAAAATCTAAAAATATAACTACCATATGACCCAGCAATCACACTACTGGGGGTATATCCTGAGAAAACCACAATTCAAAAAGAGTCATGTACCATAATGTTCAGTGCAGCTCTATTTATAATAGCCAGGACATGGAAGCAACCTACGTGTCCATCAACAGATGAATGGATAAGGAAGATGTGGCACATATATACAATGGAATATTGCTCAGCCATAAAAAGAAATGAAATTGAGTTATTTGTAGTGAGGTGGATGGACCTAGAGTCTGTCATACAGAGTGAAGTAATTCAGAAAGAGAAAAAAATATACCGTATGCTAACACATATATATGGAATCTAAAAAAAAAAAAAAAAAATTATCCGTTTTGTAGAACCTAGGGTGCAGGACAGGAATAACGACACAGACCAGAGGACACAGGGTGGGGGAAGTTTAAGCTGGGGTGACATGAGAGAGTGGCATGGACTTATATATACTACCAAATGTAAAATAGATAGCTAGTAGGAAGCAGCTGCATAGCACAGGGAGATCAGCTCAGCACTTTGTGACCACCTAGAGGGGTGGGATAGGGAGGGTGGGAGGGAGATGCAAGATGGAAGGGATATGGGGATATATGTATATGTATAGCTGATTCACTTTGTTATAAAGCAGAAACTAACACATCATTGTAAAGCAATTATACTCCAATAAAGATGTTAAAAAATATTTTTTTTCACTGCTCAGTGCATTGTCTGCGAATGACTGCAAGTGTGCAATGAACATGGATTTGGGGGTTATAAATACATTTTATCAAGTAGGTAAATTTGAAAATTCAGAACATGGATTTAGCAACATTGAAGTCACTGTGACCTTAAATAAACAAGAGTTATTTTGTTGGAGTAGGTGAGGGCAAAATCTTGCTAGGCATGGGATTAAGGAAAACAGAAGTACAAGAATTGAAGATAGTGGGTAGAAACAAATATTTCTAGGAGTTTTGATATAAGGGGGGAGCAGAGAGGCAGGGAGATCAAAAGATTTTTTTAAGTTTGAAGAAATAGGTACCTTATGGTATGATGATGGTAATAACCCATTAGAGAGGGGAGTATGGATGACACAAGAGACAAAGGAGAGAATTACCAACACAATATATTTCAGTAGATGACTGGGATGAAGTTTGTTGCACAAGTGCCCTTAGAGAGAAACACGAACAGTTCTTTTTCATTAAACACTTGGGAAGGCAAGGTTTGTGGGTGTAGATGCTGATAGGTGTGTCGATGTGATGGGAGCACATGGACATTCCCTTCTGATTGCTTCAGTTTTATCAGTGAAGTGGAAGCAGTGTTGTAAAATGTTATGTAAAATATAATATGAATGTCAGGGAGTCTTGTGGTTCAATTTAAGGTTTGTGGCCATAAATTGACAGTAAGACTATCAGCATGTATGTTGTTTCTCACTTTAGGGTTGGCTGCATGGGTTTAGGTGCAGAAGTAACGATGAGTTTGTTTAGGGTCTTGATTCTCCTAAAAGGGCATTAATATGAGGGGGAAGACAGTTGCAAATGTATGTGAGGATGGTTATAAGAATTATAATAATGTATTTTTTTCCATAATAACTTTTATTATGCGTTCTATAGAAGTAGCAAGGTACATTGTTTACTTACACAATTACGTGCAGTCAGCACTGGGTAACTCAGAGACACAAATGTCAACAAGTTTAGTTCAGAACTCATCTGCATGATACATAAAGTTTGCACTGCTGCTGTGACTCTGCAGACAAACGTTTCAAAGCTGGCCTCCCCACCAGCGGCATCAGAACCATAAGAGAAACTTAAACAACAGATTTCTGTACCTGTACCCCCAAAAATTATGATTCAGAAATTTTGAGGTAGAGCCTATGAATCTCTTATTTTTGTACTGAATACTAGACACTAGACCACTCAGGGCTGTGGGCCGGGACCTCCTGCCATCCCTCCAGCCCTGCGCTTCCTAGTATATAATAATGTGTTTTAACTTAAGTATATCGGGTAGCATCAAGAGTTTGTTGAAGTCAGAGGGAATGAGCTGGAAAAATAAAAGGTGAGGTCAGAAAGTGGGCTATATTAGAAAGAATAGGGCAGGGTATGGCCATGGGTTGAAGTGTGAAGTAGAATAGAGGATACAATCATTGGAGGAAAGGAATTCAAAGAACTAGAAGGTCAAGAATTAAAGGATTATCTATGTTTCCATATATATGTCCCACATATACATGGAAATCACCAGGCATCAGACAGAACTAGAACTGGAGAGAAGGACGTTGAGCCAGGAGCTAAACTCACTGAAAAATAAAGGGCAGAACCCTGGGATCAGAAGGTAGTGAGCATCGTGGGTGGCATAGTCTGAAGACTATGAGTCAATGCCGCGTGTTTGAAAGGAAGACGGGGGACAACAGACTGGAAGAAACAATTAAGGAGGAGGAGCAGACTCCAACTCACCTCCAAGCTCAACAGTGCAAGCGATGAGGGTGAACCAAAAGCCACCACTCTGGAGAGTTCCAGAAAAGCACTGTCCTCTGGAGGGGGCCATGTTTTAGTCCAGACGAGAAAGCAAAGGGAGGATACAGATAAGAGGTTTAGTATACAGAGTGTTTTGCTGCTGAAGGACCAGGCGTTCATGCTGACCCAGTGCTCAGGAGTAGGGGGCGGGGTGGGAGATGGGGACCAAGAATGTTGAAGCACAGGCCATGAGAAGTGAACTGAGGCTTCTCACAGTGACATCAGATACAGAATGACCTTCACAGGTTGTCAGAGCTGAGACAGTCCTTTCACACCCATCAGGGCTCGCATACTAAAAGATTCTTTTCCATGTTTTACATTTTCTATTTGTGCCTTACATTTTCATAAATGTTAGAGCTAGAAGATTTATTCACTTGAAAGAGGTGAGATTGTTAGGAGAACGTCAAACTGTTTTTTTTAATTCTTATAGGCTAAAAATCACTTGATGATCTATTCTTAAAAATTTATTTTTGTAGTGATCAGTCAACTGACACTGTTTACTGGCAGTTTGATTAGGCTCTTCTGCACTTTTGCTGAAAGCAAAGAATTGGAAACTACCTGGCCTGAAAAGGAATAGGTGTGTGTGTGTGTCTGTGTGTGTGTATGTGAATTTTTATTCATTTACTTTTTATTTCTTAATTTATTAGAATCATTCACTTTCTCAGTTTCTGGGAAGAATACCAAAAAGACTGCCAAAATTTATTAAATGACCAGTAATTGTACCCATTATTTTTTTTCCCACTAACAGACATATTGTTTAGCATGATATACTCAGATA